ACTGGCAGTCTGGTCATTTGAATGGTCTTGACAGAAAATAATTTGCTTTGAGCTCGGCAGGATTAAATTTGATCCACGTTTACCAAATACGCATACTACTAACTTCCTTTCGTGTGTTCCACAATTTCTCTAGTGTTAACCAGAAATTTATTAATTGCCAGCTTGACCTTAAACAGGCTGTTAACCTTCTCAAGCCTTAATTTTTGTCTTCTTAAAATGGAAGTGATAATACTCACTGTGTTATGAGGATGAAATGAGGTAACGATTGTAAAGAACCTGGTACATAATTAATACGTAATCACATGGTAGTTCCTCCTGGGCTGTTGCTAGTACCTCTTTGTTCCTTTGTGGATATTTCTGCATTCTCTCAGGTTCCATAAAATGTGCAATTAAACGCAGGTTCAGTAGTTTTCAAGTAATTTAGAATTCTCTTCTTAGACAATTAGATTCTAAAGCCCTTTTCTAAACTCACAGAGCATTTAATAATCTAGTGTGCTTCACACGTTTCATGTGGCTCTGGTTCACTTATCCTTGAATTGGAATTTTTGCAGTAGTTCATGCTTACTCCTAACCTCCTAGTAGTTAATCTCTTAAAAGAGCCCCATATGCTTGTCCTGTGGTGGCACCCTAAATTGTTAATGTTTACCTTTTAGGCCCATCATCACCTTGTCAGTTTAAGACACTAGTTCGGAGCATGGCTCTACTCCTTCTAGCTGTGTGATCTCACACGGTCATCTAATCACTCTGCTTCAGTTTCCTTGTTTGTAAAACGGAAATAATAAAACTACCTCTCACATTGTATTGTAAGGGTTACATGATTTAATGTTTAAGTTTACACATGGCGCTTAGCTTGGTAGTAGCTTGTTAGTGCTCAAAACCTGGTAAATAAGTCTGTTAGCTATTGTTGCAAAGTGGGAAGTTGGGATCGTCTCCCTTAAAGCTTTGATAACTCTTTACATACTTTTTCTATGAAGACTGTCTCTGTCTCACATGTTCTGCTTTACTTTCTCTGCTTTTCTTAGCCTTTTTCCAAATACATTTTCAACATTACCAGTTCTGTAGTTGGAAATGGATTTTTTTTTTTCCTTTCCCTTGCAAGGTTTCCTATAACAGTTCCTATAAGGATTCTAGAATGGTAGATTTTTACAGTTCCCTTTTTTTTTAATTAATTTTTTCTATTTTTTTTAATTGTACTTTAGGTGAAGGTTTACAGAACAAATAGTTTCTCATTAAACAGTCAGTACACATTGTTTTTTGACATTGGTTAACAACCCCATGACATGTCAACACTTTCTCTTCTCGACCTTGGAGGACCTTTTTTGTGTGTGTGTGTTAAAATATATATAGCCAAAGATACACCATTTCAGAAATTACTACATGTACAATTCAGTGACATCGATTAC